TACAAAGGTTTTTCTCATAAGGAGAATAGTAAAACGCTAGAACAGATTGTAACGGACTGGCTTTTTAGGGTTAGGTCTCGGTGCTGGCCGCCTGCCTATTCAGGGCTAAACCTGCCTCGCTTACCTGCCACACCTTGATGACAATAAATATGATGGCCGTTTCTGAGGCAGGAGGCTGCCCATTGCTCGCCCTCCTGATGCCAAGGGCCTTGGTACATGCTCTGACCTCCCCATGCCACACAAATGTTTCTAGGCCTAGCACGTGGCCTCCCTTCTGGTGCACACACTGGGGATTCAATATCCAGCCTAGCACCCAGCCTCCAACCTGCGGCACACACCGGGCCTTCACCTATGTGGCCTAGCACCCAGCCTCCAGTCAGGTGGTACACACCAGGCCTTTACCAATGCCTAAGTAAGTCTACCTTGTTACATCCAGTAATCAAGCAATCTCTTGTCTGGTAATTATGTCTCCTCATTTAGGTAATTCTGCATTCTCTACTATGTAATTCTGTCCTCTCACCAGGGCCACAGTCCCTCAACGAGGCCACTCTACCCTCTGGCCCCCTCTCTAGGCCGCTCCACAAGTTTAGCCCCCTCTCTGGGCCTTTTGCCTCCTCACTAGGGCCACACTCTCTCTCTGCCCCCTCACGGGGGCCACTGGGGTCTTCCGCTGTGCCTGGTCCCCACATGCAGGCAGCCTGCTTAACAGGCTGGGTGTGCCTGGCCTACTCTTCTCTGGTGTCAGTAACCTGCTTGTAGGCAGGGACTGAGATGTTTCAGGTGCCCCTTCTCACCTTTCACTGGGGAGGTAACTGGCATTTCTGCGGGACTATTCCGCCACAGACGGCTCCACCAGGCCACTCATCCCCGGCAGGGTGCAGTTTTAGGTCATGCCCAGGACCAGGAGCCTCCAAACCATCCCCATAGCTCCTGTCCTTGCCTCCAAGGTGTTCCAGGAGCAGCTCAGCCTGATGCTGCCTCCTTGCCTGCTTAGCTTAGACTGCTGCTTCTCTCTCTGAGTGCATGGGTTAAAATAGGGGCTGCTCCACCCTGTCAGCCAATCTCAGGGTGCTTCTAGGGTCACGTGCTAGATTTGATGAGGCTAGCACCTACCTGCCAGCTGCTCCACTACCAGCTTGAAACCTTAAATTGGCAGGCACTGCAGGTACCCTGCCACAAGGTTACCCAGAGAGGTTATGGACTCTTCATCCTTGGAGCTTTTTAAGATCCGGCTAGACAAAGCTTTGGCTGGGATGTTGTAGATGGGGATTGTCCTGCTTTGAGCAGGTTAGATGACCTCCTGAGGTCCCTTGCTACCCTAATTTTCTATGAGTCTATGATTCAGAGTCCACTTGACAAAATTGGTATTAAATTTGTTCTTGGCACTTGCTCCTCAGCTCTGGAACTCCCTTCCTCATTATGCCTGAACATCTTTTAAAAGCGCTGGAACACTTCCCTATTTGGGCAGGTATTTACCAAATGAAGCTAGGATGAAAGGCAGTTTAGGGCAGTTTTGGTTTCCTTCTAAGGTTTTTTGGTCCTCTTCTTTCCCTGTTTTTAAGTTGTTCTTTTTTTTCTTATTGTAAGATGCTCTGATCCTTTTTTGGGGAAGGACAGCATATAAATCAAATCAATAAACAAACAAACCTTGCCTACTTCCTCTTCTTCATCTTAGTTAATTGTTTAAAATTTTTTTCTCTCAGGCTGAACTGATTTGCCACTTAAAATTCTGCTCTAATGAAATGATCTGAACATCCATTTGAAACAACCCTAAAACTTGTCAAGCATGAAGGAGACTAATTATGAGCATTATTTGATAAATCTTACAATCTTTTGATGTAGAGTTACTTACTTCTAGGCAATAGACTAGAATCTGGCTCAAGTCAGAACTGACTGACATTCGTTACTGTTGGACAGCTGTTTGACCTGAGTAAAATGAATTGGTTGTATATTTGCAGTGAAAGAAAAGAATAAATGAACAGAAAAGAATATGTATTTGCCACATCCTTTCCATTATTTGTGAACTTTTGAGAAGGAAGCTGCTGACAATATCTGAGAGTTGTGCTGGGGAGAGGAAAATTAGTTTCTCAATGAGGATGAAATAACATATTTATACATCATGTAGAGAAAAGTAATAGAACTTTTTTTTTCGAGTTTGACTAGCCTAAAGTTGGGGAAATTTTAAGTTCTGTATGTAAAAGCAAAGGGACTTTTAACAATCTTTGCAATATACTTTCAGAAAATGGAAAATGTTAGGAAGTGCCTTGCATTTTTTCCTATGTTGTACACTATAATGTATTGACTCCTGTAAGGATTTAATATTGACAATCATTCTTTTCCAGAAACAAGTGGAATCCAATGAGGTAATGGTGGAAAAACTGGTGAAAAGGTCTATTGATACTCAAGTAAGTATGGAAAAAAAAGGAATAATAAATAAGGATGCGATATTTTGGAAAGCATATGTGTATGAAACTGTCTAACCAATAGGTTTTTCTTTGGAATTTAGTATTTTTATTTCAAATATATGAACATTCTTGATGTAGCTGAACTAGGGCAGTATACAGATTTCTTGTTAGTGGCTATGCTTACTTTAAAGTGGTTGTGCTTGATGCTAAATTGTCAGATAAAGGAAAAAGATAATTATCCTGGAAATGTATGTGGCTACTTTGACAAGATGTATTCAGAATGTGAACTGGATTCTTAGAAAATGTAAACTGTACATTGAATGTAAGGATATCAAGTTAAGGAGACATGATCATGGAGATAGTCAGTTGCATTGAAAATTCAGCTATATCCTCATCACAGCAGGAAGGTGACTTGCATTGCTGAGCAATTTGTCTTACAGGCTTGAATCAAACTCTTACTGATAAGGTTCTAGTTTCTGAACACTCATTTCATACCTTATCATTTTTCTTTCTGCAGAGCTGTTAATGCAGTGCTTCATGGCCCAGAGGTCAGAAATGACCTCCTTTTAAAGTGCTTTTAAATATGCTGTTCTTCATGTTTTAAATATGTTATGTTGCAGCTCTATAAATTTTGTTCCGAAGTTTCATGACACAAATTGTAATTTCTGTAACAACAGTTCAAAATAGTATCTTTAATTTGCGTGCATGTTTGTATGTGACTACCTACTTTGTTAAGCAGTAAGATTAAATCTGGTGATTACCCATTAGGTCTCGGAAGAGAGAAATGGCGTTGAAATAGACTACACTTGTAAATGGAAGATTAAGAGTTTTGTTGTTTTGTTTTTTAAAGTATTATTATTGCCTTTTCTACATAGTGGTTGAAGACGGAACAAGGGACAAAATATTTCTTGCAACTGTATTTTGTGACTAGCACAGATTATCAGGACCATTGAAAAAATGGAACTGTGCTTTAACAGTATAAGAAAACTATACTCTAAAGCAACTACAAGGTATTGCAAGATTTTCCTAGAAAAATATAAAGAATAAAAATGGAAAAAGAACAGCAAAAAAGCCACATTGATCAAATAAGTGGCCACATTGATCAAATAAGCCAAGCTAACAACAACCATTCTTCAAAACTGCTACTAGCATCATGGTTTTAGCTGTGGTATAGATTATTTTAATATACCCAATGAAAGAAGTTCTCCTCCTCATTCTTAATTAGCATCATTTTTCAATGAATGTGTCCTGAAAACCATGAAGACTGAATTTTATCTTTTAACATTTGTCCCCAGGGGTTGAGTCTGAGCAAACTCTTTAGACTTTACGTTTAAACACTTTAATTTGTAAACATAATCTATATTAAAATGGATCCAGTGTTGTAAAAGCTGCTCTCCGATTAATACAGTAAATTTAAACTTTAATTTAACCTTCAGAAATATTTTAATTTATAATAGTATAAAGAGTGTTAGCAAGCTCAGTCTTAAGTCAACTTGCTAGGTTGTGGAAATAACGTTCATGTTGCCTTTTTTGGTTTAGAATAGTCATTTTGTAGTACAAATGCATTCATGAAATTACTGATCATCAGGGATCCTAGTCTCTGTTCAGAATTCCCAAATTCTCTGAAAAAGCCCAAATTGTTTGATTTAAAACCCCCCAAATCCCCGTTTTTTTTTCCACGTCACTGTATTTATAGGTATCAATTGAACACTTTTTATTGATATATTTAAATTTTAAAGCGATCTGGAAGTCTACCTGTGCTTCAGTCCATAAAAATACTTTCTAAGTACCTATATATTTTGGTATTTGATTTTGGTTTTTTTTATCACAGAAAGTCAGAGTTCCCCCTGCCCCCTTCACTTGCCAGGATGTGGGTCCAGCTGGAGCTGCCCTTCCCCACTCCCCTCTTCCCTCCTCCTGCTTTGTGGTGCTGAGCAACTCTAATATATTGGTGCCTTGCCCCTGCAAATGCTGTTGCCCCTTGCTCCCAAGCCACAACCCCCACAATGCTGCTGATGCCCCTCACTCCCAGGCCACAACCCCCCAACCCTGCTAGTGCCCCTCATTCACAACCCACAGCACCCTGCTCCCCCCAACCCCGCTGGAGAGGGCCCCCAGTTGCCAGGGCTATCAGGTCAGGGCCTGTGGCCTGAGAGTGAGGGGCACCCAAACTCTACCAGCTTGCAAGGGGAAACCTGCTGTTTCCTGTGATTTTTTTTCTCTTTTAAAGGAGAAAATCCATGTTTTTCCGCAGCGAACAGCAAACCTGGATCCCTGATGATTAGTGACTTCTGGTGACTCATTTACTGTGAGAATATTTTTGATCAGATACAAGACTTAATTTTTGGTGTTGCCTTATTAACTGTTTTCCTGTTTTATGTTCATAGATGAGCATTTTGAAGGGTATCAAGAAAATCCTGATTCTATTAATATTTTGAACAAAATGTTCCCGTTTCATGAATGCATGTTTTATAGGAATGATCATTTTTAGAAAAAAGGCAAAAGAGAAATTATTTTTATTCTTCTTAATAAATTTTGAATTCAAGACTATTTAGAACTGCAAATAGCTGACTATTGCTAGTAAGCTACCAAAATCAGAGAGAAACTATCTTGATGTTGCCTGAAAAAATGGGTGAATAGTGACATTGTGAGAGGCGGTAAGAGGTTGTTTGAGGTTTCATTGGTTATCACTTTTTCAGACTTTAACCAGTATATCCTGATTTCTCTGTCAAAAAAAAATCCCCATCTGTCAAGCTGTTTAATATGTTAGGGGTATGTTACTACTGCCAACTATGGTTTAAGACCAATGGATTATTTTATATTTCAATTGTTTATACTTTTTGTGAATTTAATGATGAAAGCTATATATAGAAAATATGGTGTGGGGACACTGCACAATTGTGAATGCATGTTGAGTAAGTTAAAAAGAATATTTTGGAAAAGAGAAGTAGTTCGCAGTGTTAAGTTTGAACTTAGGAAGAAGACAGGGTAGGTTGATACCTTTTCAGACTGTTTCAGAGAGACATTAGCTTTTGTAGGCTGTAGCCTACTTTGTTAGATGTTATGGATAGACTTGTAGAGGGCAGGGGTAGTAAATAGAAGGGTGAGGTAGTTAACAGTGCCATGCAGAAGGCAGGGTAGAGATGCACTTTTATAGACTGACTTGTCGTTGTAGACAGTCCCTTGATATGAGGAGGATAGTCTACTAAATAGTCATTGTTTAATCCTGAAATGGCTGGGGAGGTCAATCTGAAGTCCACATGTTTGACTGCAGACATGGAAAATAATTTTGGGAGGAAAGAGTGCGTGCTGGTAATGTCAGGTCACACAAGTCTTTCTTCATCTCTGGTCTATCCGTCTCCATAATGAGGTGAGTTTGATCGAAGTGACTGGTACTTTTTCAAACATCACAGCACTATGGTGATGAGTCAGTGCTCGTGTCTCTCAGATTTGATATTTAATATCATATTTCTTCACATTTGTCTTCAAGGTTTGCTCAAATCTATTCTTTTGCCTAGTCTTACCTCTAGAGTGGTGGCCATTGATAAGTTGAGAGTATAGGATCTGTTTTGGTAGCTGGTTGTCAAGCATGCTTATTACATGTCCTGTCCAATGGAGCTGGTGCCATATAAATGTGGCTTCAGTGCTAGTGGTGTTTGTTTGAGCCACGACTCTGGCATTTATTCTTCTGTCCTTTCAGTTGATGTGGTGGATTTTGCAAAGACATCGCTGATGGTAACATTCCAAAGCTTTCAGGGGTTTCCAACATGTCATCAAGCTTTCACATCCATATATCAGGTTAGGAATGACAACAGCCTGGTAGGACAGAAGTTTTGGTTTGAGTCCTGATGTCATGATAGTTAAAGACCATGTTTTTGGAGATGTCCCAAGGCAACAACGGCAGATTTTATCTGATCTTGAATATAATCTATAGTTCCTTTTTGGGAATGCTGGCTACAATGTAAAATGTGAAAGAGCTGGGGTGGTTGGTAAAGTATAATGGTCTTTGTGAAGTTGAAAGTGAGTTTGAGCATTTCATATACTTCACAGAAGCAATCAAGAATGACGTGGAGCTCTTCAGCTAAGTGCGCACATACAGTAGAATCATTTGCATGCTGAAGATCTGTAACAGGTGCTGGTTTACTTGGTTTTGAAACGTACCAGTTTGCTGATATCCACAACACGCATAGTTTTATGAAGATTACCAAAGGTATCTGTGGGACAAGTGCACAAGGAGCTGTCCCTCTGAGGTCCAAGGATGAAATAACACTCTTTAAAGAAAGCTCCACCATCAACTCAGTGAAAGGAGCACTTTCTTCCACATCAATATTCTGATGTGGAAGACAGTGCCATAAAAGCTACTCCACAACACGTCGTTAAGGACTACATTGCAGATAGATTTATCTAGAGACCTAGAAAGCCATTAAGCAGATGAAAAACAGCAAGACCTATGGTCCTAATACAATATCTGCTGAAATGTATAAGCAAGGTGGGAAGAAGCTCTCTCACCAGCTACACATTGTTATTCTGAACATCTGAAAACACTAACAGATTCATAGTACCCTGAGAGGGATGTGGACAGCATCGAGAGGGTCCAGAGGAGGGCCGCTCGTATGATCAAGGGACAGCAGGGTAGGTCCTATGAGGAAAGGTTGCGGGACCTGAACCTGTTCAGCCTTCAAAAGAGAAGGCTGAGGGGGGATCTTGTGGCCTGTTATAAACTGGTTAGGGGGGATCAGCAGGCGCTGGGGGAGTCCCTGTTCCCCCGAGCGCCGCAAGGAGTGACCAGGAACAATGGTCACAAGCTGGCAGAGGGAAGGTTTAAGTTGGACATCAGGAGGCGCTACTTCACGGTCAGGGCGGCTAGAGTCTGGAACCAGCTTCCAAGTGAGGTGGTGCAGGCTCCCACCCTGGGGGTTTTTAAGAGGAGGTTGGATGACCACCTTACTGGGGTCATTTGACCCCAGTGCTCTTCCTGCCATGGCAGGGGGTCGGACTAG